CGTTGGTAAAAGAGTAGCCCAAGAATTTGCGGTGGATGGTGATGACTAGCTGCCTTCCCTCTAGTCTTACACTGCGAAATTAGGGACGGCTAGCGCAGATAGCCCTCGTCTAGCTTTGCGCGAAATTCAAACAAACCAAACTGTATTTTTACCGCTGACCCACCTGAAGACTTGTTTTTTGTTTGTGGGAATTGTTAGTGGGATTGATCGTCACGTTATAACGCCCCCACGGTTGAAAGGACGAGCAAGATTTGTGGGATGGGGATAAATTACGGAACCTTGGTTCGATTCCCCGCAGTGGACAGTACGCAAATAGTCCATTGTGTAGCTGTGTGCTAGAAACAAATATACATTTACCAATTGTTATATTTATTAAAACTAATAAACCTTCGACGGAGTTTATTCAGTACTAATTACTAAGTTATATTATTCTATAAACAATAATTATTTTTCTTTTTTATTAGGAGATGTTTAAGTTCTTTAAAAGGAAAAAACATATTACAGTGAAATTTTACATCGTAATAAATACTACGATTTTGTACGGAATACTTCTTTAATAGATCTATTTTTTATGATTTTTTTTATAATTCTCTTGTGCAAAGTTACACATGGGCTTACTGAACATACCCGTCATTAATTTTGAACTGATACACTAGAGGGAGGGCAGTTAACAGTACCCACCGCCAACTCTTTGACTCCTTTTGTCTGAATGAATAGTGGGATTTGACCATCAAGTTATGGCGCACTAACGGCCTCAAAGTTCGGAACGAATTTTTGTGGTAACAAGACTCGAACCCTGAACCTTGAAATTCACAGTTCAGGTACTCTAACTACTAGTAAAGAGAGAGAAAAAATACATATTGCACTCAACTGTAGTATGAGCTTCAGTTGTAATATTTTAAGCAACACATTTGAAAGTGATCTTTAACAAAACATTGTTTTTTATGCGATTTTCTCCTCTTTGAAACGAACAGGCACTAAAGAAAAACATGGAACTGTTATGTAAGTGTCATGGAGTATCCGGATCTTGCTCCATGAGAGTCTGCTGGAAACAGCTTAAGCCTTTCCGGCAGGTTGGAGAATGGTTAACGAGGAAATTTGATGGAGCGACTCATGTACAAATAATCAAGAAACACGATACTTTGAGACTAGTTCCATGGAAGAAAGACATCAAAAAGCCAAGCAGAAAAGATCTCGTGTATCTAGAAGAGGCTCCAGATTACTGTTACAGGAATGAGACGTAAGTTATAGATTTTATTTTCTTTGCTGCAAATCTATTTTTAACTTTATTGATTACTAGTATGAATAGGATTTTATCTGGCTTGTGCCAATATCTAACGATGAGGATTACAGTAACGGTGTATTAAAAAGAGTAAATTTAAGTTTACAAATACATAGTTTAGAAATGATGTCGGGTAATGACCGTAGTGCCATCTATTAACCAATTTCGAATGTTCTGGAAGCTCTTTAACTTTCAGCCTATTTTCTTCTGTGAGATATTGCACATAAAATAAATTAAACCACATATCTATTTGGCGTGTTATGTTCATGAATAAGAAATCAGTTATAAGTATGAACGTTTAAGAAAAAATATTTATGTCACATTTTCTATTAGAATTATGAATGTAGATCTGTTTCCAACAATTACAATTAGTCGCAACATAAAAATAATAAGGAAATGAACGTCTCTAGTGGACAAATTGTAAGAAGATTCAACACTTCTCCAACACTTACAGTGTTCTCAAAGAATTTACCTCACTTTCTTTTCGTTAAAGAAGCAACATTTAAAGAAGAGCTGATAAAGTACAAATACAAAATTTTATACAAAGTGTTTTTGTAGGATGGTATTAACAACACATGATAAAGTATTTATCCAAAAAATTGAATTTGTTCAGAAATTTATAGCTTGAGACTTGTTTATTTCGGAAAATTGCACACATAGTCGTTCCTAATTTTGAACTGAAAGACTAGAAGTAAGGCAGCTAACAAAAAGTACCCATCGCCAACTTTTGGGTCGCTCTTTTCTGACCGAATATTGGGGTTTGATCGTAAGGGCCCAAAGTGCAGAGGCGTTTTTGTGGCAACGGGACACAAGCCATGGACCCTTGGACTGAGAGGAAGATACCGTCCACAGAAGATTCAACGCCAAAATATACAACTTTTTATAAAAAAATTCATTCATTTTAGCTTTGAAAACATGACCAAAAAACATATAACAGATTTGATAAAATAAATACTAATACAGGGGTTAGACAAAGTAATGAAAACATTTCACCTTTTAAACTTAAAGTTTTGATGTCTCTAAAAGGGGAAAATCTAGCTTTACGGTAATTTAACTGAACGTTCTAGTATTCTGTATCTCACTGAATATGTCTGTATACGAACAGTATATCGTTTTTCAGAGAAACATTTCAAAAATGCAACATAAAAAGACTGTCAGATTTACACAAAGATGCACAATTGTAGGCGAACGTCTAGCTAGACCCACAGTAACCCGAACGCCTAAAATAATGTCAGAAGTGGTGACAACATGGATATAGAAAAATAAAATAAAATCACATCAGACAACTATAATAGTGGTAGAAAAACTAAGTTGACAGATCGTGACAGATGAACATTAACACAAGTAGTGAGATGAAAACGAAAGACTACAGCGTCAAAAGTGTACTTAAAAGTTAACGTTACCCTACTCTCTGTCAAAACAACTTGAAGGGAGACGGCATAAGATGGGTTACCATGGTAGGCTTACCATTTAGAAACCATTAATAACACCAAAAAGACTGAGTAAAATGTGTGAAAAACACGAAAGTTTGATCCAAGATCAACGGCAGAATGGTTTGGTTAAATAATTTTTCTATTTTTCCCACGAGGAGGTTTACGGGGGAGGGGTCACACACTGTTTGCGCTTAGTCAACTATTTTTTTTTTTTTTTAGTCCTTGAGGTGCACATATCACCTTTGTTGTGAATTATGACGAACTGCGCCAAGAAATTTCGATAATTTTCGCATCCTTGTAGAGATAATGGGGGAGTCACGCAAGGGTTCGTCTGGTAAATCCGGTTGAGAAACACTGTTCTATATTATCAGTTTAAGACACATTAGAGGCTGTGTGATGCCATGGCAGCTTTTTGATGAAATAGTTTATAGCCAATGATCTCACTGAAATGTGAAGTTACAGCAAATGATTACTTAAACCTTACGGTTGACCAATTTTATTCCTATGGTGAACACTTCATTATCAGAAGGAGCTGGCCTGCTTCAGTATGACAATGCATCAAATAATACTAATAAAATTGTTAAAAAGAACAAGGAGTTCAGGAACCTAAAGTGACTAACATATTTAAATAGTACCGAACCTCTGTGGTCAATTTTCAAAGCAGATTTCTACCGCTAACATCTCTTCAACATTGAGAAGCAGATTTCTACCGCTAACATCTCTTCAACATTGAGAAGTAGATTTGATCGACGAATGGACAACCTCTTGTTTCATTAACTCCATTCCATCATCAAAGACGGCACTGTCTGATCACGGTTGGTCAGCTCCATACCAATAAATAAAATTCAGAAATTTGCAGATGTTTACATTATTTTAACGTCTGTACTTTTGTTTCACAAACAAACTGAACATAAAAACTATGCGAGGCATCAGCTATTTCTGTTGAAATATTTCGCTAAATAACTTCACCCAACCACCCCTTTGTCACGTACATTAAATGTTCAGATTATAGATAAGCAGAAATGTTGTTTCCATCGTACAAAGCTACATGATGGACTATCTGCACTTTGTTCACCGCGGGGAATCGAACCCTGGACTTTAGCGTTTTATGTCTATAAATTTACCGTTGACCCACCGGGGGACGAGATGAACAGAATTCGCGGAGCATACAAAGTAATCTTTTTCGTAAACTATGCTACACTGAAGCGTGGTGTTATACTAAATGTACATTTTGAAAATATAACACTACACACTTTACTATAAAATGCTTTGTACACCATTTTCAAATGTGTTTTACATTTTTTACTTTACTCATATGATTATTTTGCCAAACGAGATTCTGTCTGAAATGTAGCTTACAATGAAACAAATTTAAGGTTGAGTATTATTGAAAAAATGTTTTTAACTGCACGATACACAACTCCAATAAATTCTGTACCAGTGATTTCTAAATCAAAAGTTTATTATTAAAAACCTTCATACATTTTAGGCCTAATTTTTAATCATAATTTAACTGCAAAGCATACAAACAAACAAACAATCACTTTAGTGATGAAGAACATTTCAGATTTTCGCGCAAAGGGCTATCTGCGCTAGCGGTTCCTAATTTAACAGTGAAAGACTAGAGGGAAGGCAGATAGTCATTACCAACTACCGCCAACTCTTGGACTACTCTTTTACCAACGAATAGTGGGATGGACCGTTACATTATAACGCTCCCATGGTTGAAAGGGCGAGTATGTTTGGTGGGACGGGGATTCGAACCCGCGATCCTCAGATTGCGAGTCAAGCGCTCTAACCACCATCTGCATTTTACAGACTCTGAAACAACGTAAATTAATACCAGCAAAGTTGATTTAAATGTCGAGTTGCTGGTTGAAACTCTACTCATTAAACTGAACTTCGATATTTTTGTGATCATGATTTATTTTAACATAATTAAAAAAAAGTAGTTTTCAATTCCCTTTATCCTCGGCCCGGCATGGCCAGGTGGATAAAACTCTCGACTCGCAATCTGAGGGTCGCGGGTTCGAATCTCCATCCCACCAAACATGCTCGCCCTTTCAGCCGTGGGGGCGTTATAATGTGACGGTCATTCCCACTATTCGTTGGTAAAAGAGTAGCCCAAGAGTTGGCGGTGGGTGGTGATGACTAGCTGTCTTCCTTCTAGTCTTACACTGCTAAATTAGGGACGACTAGCGCAGATAGCCCTCGTGTAGCTTTGCGCGAAATTGAAAACAAACAAACAAACCCTTTAACCTTTAGTAGGACAGATGGTTCGTAGAAAATAACCAGAGATCCAATTCTCAAAAGAAAAATAATTTAATAATTGCAAAGAACACTAACCTAATCTTCTCGTTTCTAGTTATTTACCTTTCTTTGTCTCGTCAACCCTTTTGTCTTAATGCACTACACATTTATACATTGTTCGCAAATGAAACTTAAAATTCTGCACTGCCTTTTGAAACTCGAAGTTTTAAAGTTAAAAATAATATAAAAATTATACTGCGGAAGAAATTACTTTTGAAAATGTTGACACATTTTAAAATCTGTGTAAGCAAACAAATTATACAGCAATAAAATGTGAATTTAATTATTTTACATCAGTGCTATAGATTAATTATTTTACATCAGTGAGATAGATTAATTATTTTATATCAGTGCTATAGATTAATTATTTTACATCAGTGCGATAGATTAATTATTTTATATCAGTGCTATAGATTAATTATTTTACACCAGTGCTATAGATTAATTATTTTACATCAGTGCTATAGATTAATTATTTTACATCAGTGCTATCGATTAATTATTTTATATCACTGCTATAGATTAATTATTTTACATCAGTGCTATAGATTAATTATTTTATATCAGTACAATATTATAAATACAAACATTAAACTCAGGCCTGATTGTAGAGGGAAGTATATTTTAGTTAAATTGTTTGACTGTTTGAACAAAACTACATAATGGGCTGTCTGTGCTCTCTGCCTACCACGGATATCGAAACCCGGTTTCTAGCGTTGTAAGCCCGCAAACATACCGCTCTGCCACTGGAAGGCATTTTAGTTAAATTGGCACAAACCTGTAATTATTAACTATCCATCCATCCATTTTGAAAAACCTTTGTAGCTTTAAAGATTGCAAAAAATTAAACTCTTCAAGGTTTGAATACAAGAATAGCCTAAATAACTAGACCAACTAACAATACTACATATATTCCATTGTGCTATTTTGATCATGATCTATTGTTTGATTTTTCAACAACTGGTTGATTTCATGCACTTATGTTACTTCATATTGTAATAAATTCATGAAAACACTTTTTATTACAAACAGTATCCAACCTTCTCAGTTTAAAATACCTTGGTTTACTATAGTTGTTGCCAAGTGCCATCTAGCGGATTATCCTGTGTGTACGTTATCTTCTATGTTGCATAGATCAGGAAAAAAAAAGTTTAAGAGAACAGTTTAAGTTTTTACACAGTTCAAAACAGTTAGACTGAAAATGGTTAAAATTAGAGATGCTAATAAGAACTTTTCAAATATTTTCCTTTCTTGAGTGTAGAAAATGAGAAGGTTTAGTTTTTCTGTTTTATAATACTATTTGTTACCGATAAAATAATCAGTACATAATAATGCTTATAAATGTGCTTATAATAGTTTTCTTGGATAACGAGAAAAATATTTTTTATTATTATAGAAAATATATTAAAATAAATTTAGGAAAATGTCTTACATATTGATTACAATGTATGATTGTATCATTTTTTTAAACAATAATTTCTAACTTTAGTTTTTAATACTTATACAGATTAGGAGTTTTGGGAACCGAAGGGCGGCGCTGCAATAACACGAGCTACGGAATGGACGGTTGTCGGCTGCTGTGCTGTGGTCGTGGATATCACACCGTTGAGCGTGTTGTTGAGGAAAAATGTAATTGCAAATTTGAATGGTGTTGTAGAGTGGTATGCGAAAAGTGTAGATTTAAGCGGGAAGAACACTTTTGTAATTAAATACAACCAAAACGGTCTTCAGATATCAATTATATCAGAAACTAGAGTGTAGATATTGACTTACGAACAAGAGAAATTAATATTAAAAAGAAAATGGACAAGAAACTTGCCACATTCAATACAATTGCTGAAAGAACAAAACACGTTTCATTTGGCGTGATAGAAAGGTATCGTGACATCAAAAAAGAATCTATAAAAAAAATCTGAAGTGTTCTACCCGATATAAATAATTGATAGATAAAATAACAGATAATCACGCTGATGTTGCTTCACGGCTAGAACGTGATCTAAAAAATGCTGTGAATTGCAAGTCGTCACAACACAGTCTTTGCCACGTGTATGAAAAAAACACATCGTACTTGGTTGTTTCCAATTATTTTCTCCTGTCATATGGTAAGCTTAGCGAAAAAGTACTTAGTGATGTATGAACTCGTATAAAAACTTTATGTATTCGTACGGTATTTTGCACAGTTCTTTATATGGTGTCTTGTTTGTTACATTTTTTTATGCTACATTCACCTAGACCACGTACTTTATTACGTACACACAACATTTTGTGTGTAAGTCTAATGAAAAGATATGAAAACACGTTTACTTGATTAACTCAGATTTTAAAATCTGATGTCAAAGCGATGTAAACATTCATATGCTAATTTTATGCTATCAGTTGAAGAAATGTGTTAAAAGGTATGGAAACATCTTTGTTTTTACACTACGTATATATTACTCTTCAGATGCTGAGGGACAAAGTAGATTTTAAAATTTGCTGTCACAGCGATGTAAACGTTCATATCTTATCAGTTGAAGAAATGTGTTAAAAGGTATGGAAACATCTTTGTTTTTACACTACGTATATATTACTCTTCAGATGCTGAGGGACAAAGTAGATTTCAAAATTTGCTGTCACAGCGATGTAAA